TCTCTGGCTACCCCGTTAGGGATTGTGCGTGACGATAAGTAAGTAAGTAAGTAAGTTACAATACAAAAATATTAAAGCAAATTATAAAACAGTGTCTAAATAATGATTAATTAACGGCCATTTGTTTTGTCAAATTTTCGTTTTATTAAAAATAATCTTCAAGTTTTTCTTAAAAAATAACATATGGCATCGATCACTCCTAACATTACTCTCTATTTGTACGTAAAACTGCATCACTATCGATATAGCGATTCCGTAGATAAGCTCAGACAGACAGACAAACAAACACAAAAAATATTTGAAGATTGTTATTTATGTCCTTTTAGCATACAAATAATCCTCTGAGCTTAATTGAAGCCAGTTATTTCAATATTACAGGCAGACACATCAATTTTATTTATATGTCTTAAATTACTAAAATAATATAACAATCATATATATACGTGATGATATAAGATCGGATTTCTCTCTCAACGTAACTGCCTTCTTAGTACCTTTATCCAGAATATGCAGCTGTGTTTTACACAGTAAACTTATACTGAACGATATATGAGTCCTCATAACGATCTGATCCGTGAACAGAAGTTTCTAAAAACGTTCTTCACGTGCGTACTCGTTTGTCATCACTAAAATCGTCATCTTACAATCAACTGTAAATAATACTCTCCTCCTGTTTTCCATAGTCCAGTACTAATCTCGCATTGTGGATGCTGAATGATTTGACCACTGGCTCGTCTACCATTAGATTATAGTCTTCAAGTTTATGGGCAAGGGTATCTATGAAACGCTCACGTCGTTAACCTGATGTACCTCTCTTTATAGGTAATTGTGACTCTATCTCTTCCAGATCTCCTAATGATATTTTCTGACTCTGATGGTGTGCCCACACATTTCAGCTAACTCGTTTCGGTACATAGAAATGTATTGAAAGAAATCTCAGAGAGCTCTTGCTGCAGATTCCACATGCATACGGCAGCAAGATCTAGGTCTGCAGTAATTACAATGACTACATACGCAAATGAAATTAAATGTCTATAGAAAGTGATTTTGAACAACATCGTTTAGGATCTGGCTGATAATGCAAATGACTAACGGTTTTGTCTATCTTTGAATGAAATGAGAAAGAGTGGAATAATTTCCCGGCGTCTGTCTTCTCGTCTAAAAACAATTAGGCTTTTAAGGCAATGCTTAATAGGATTTTGTTATATTAAGACAGTGTGATTTACCATCTAGAGTTTCATCACTACTTACCATCAGGTAAAATTTTGGTCTGCTTAACCATGGCTTGCAATAAGCTTCTTTTACAAACTAAAAAAATTTGTATGTAATGAGTTTTTACTATTTCACCTTTTCTGGCTTCCCAATTGAAAATAATCTATATGTTTTAGTTCGAAACATTATTAAGGATATAGACATATAATTATGACGATTAAATGATTTAAGTACCCAACTAATAATATACAAATAACCCTACGAATTATTTATTATTGAATCGAAATTAAACTTGGGGTGGATACGAATTTATTTTGAGTGTAATTAAATGATCTGCATCCATTAAAATACTACGACAATAAAGTTTAAATTTGTAAAAGATATTTTTAATGTTATAAAAAAATGATTACCATCATCAAAGCCCTTTCACAAACTCATTGTTGAACATTTCAAAAGAACTATGTACTACCACCTGTATCTATCGACCTCTTGCATCTCTTATTAGGTCGTCACTCCAACTCATGGGAGGACGCATATTGCCACACATGAACCTTACTAATACTATAATGTAATTTTCAGCTTCAACATAAAAGCAATAATATAGTTTTGCTAACTTTCGAAATAATTGTACAGTAATTAAACTAAGTTAGGTTTTAGATAAATATTTATCGATTGGACAATGTGACGCAATCTGCTCGTGATTGTATTCATAAAAACTTTTTAATTAGAATACTGAGATAACTAACTTTAATATGGTGCAGATAAGAATCTTGGAATTCTTTGGAAACTTGTAAGTGTAGTTGAACTATGTCGTTTTATACAAGAAGATAAGGGCGACTTATGAGTACACAGTCCATTAATGGCAGGTAAATATTGTGAATTGATTGACCTATTGAAAGATATTTATTCTTATAAGTAGTAGTATCAAAATGCACATTCATGATACCCATAAGTACTAAAACAGAATTTTTATGCCAGTACGAGTATGGTTGCCAATTCTCGTCACATAACGTTCGAAACAGAGAAGCGTTATGCTGCATTCTATGCCGGTTTTCTGACTTAATGTGCATCGCTGAGGGATCGGTATGTACCGCACCCATTTTTGCTGTAGTCACAATATACCTACTTTTTTGGACTTTAACAACTAGAAACGTGAAAACAATTCGTCGGACTTTTTATAAATCTTGCAATTTATGCATTGTCGTGAAGGAGTTTATCTTCATAATTACTGCACATGGATGGACGCAAACTACTATTTTAGGTCATATACATAGTAGCTCGGTAAAGTAACTTTTTGTTAAGATAATATGAGTACAATAAAAGTGAAGTATTTTTACAGACTATATACATTTCCCACTGCTGGGCCAAGAGATCCTCTCATTTCAGAGAGAGTTATGTAGTAATGTCAACAACATGCTGGTACAGTGCGTAGTTATAGACTCTAGATGTCTTTGAAATATTTTTTATTCCTCAGCGATTTTTGCGCGAGGATTCCTCACGCCGTTTTTCTTTACTGCCGAGAATGACATAAATCTGATCATAAAATACTCGATAATTAACAATTTTATTTGTACGAGCGAGTGGTTGTTCCGCTTTTTAAAGTCAAGGTGTTATTATTTACGCAAAAGCACAACTTTCACCGTTTCTCGCACTGCATACTAACTGTGAAATTGTATCCTCGCATGTTCATTCTTAACTTTATTACAAGCTATGTATAGTCCACTGCTGAACATATAACTATCCCATAAGTTGATTTATAGAGGGAATTTTGCCATAATTGCTGCGCTTAGCAGGGTTAGCATTTTTTAATTGTTTTCAGTTGTTGTGGGAATATATTGATGTCTATATTTTTTTCAGTTTCTTACGTGATGTTATAGTGAATATTCTTACGCAGGCACAATTCAGCGATCACTTCACTATTTAGTGATTATATATTGTTGTTAAACAAAATTTCACAAAAGTCGTGAATGGATTCAGATTACCTGAAAATAATAAACATAATAATGTTTAAACGTTTCACGTATAAGTGTTTTATTATTCACGAACCGCTGAATTTAATCGTTTACAGCATTACGAATGCAAAACGTTTTCAATTTTATGTTTACTTTAAAAAAGTAGAGAGAAAGCTTTTGTTTATAGCTTTTGTAATGAATAAAGTTTAGTCTTATAGTTTTCATATCCCATTAGTAGTTTTATTGAACGAATAGTGTGATGAAATTAAATGAATTTCATGAGTAAATCAACAAAATACCTAAACTAGACTATGAAAATTCCTGAAGATACATAACATCAGATAAATATATCTGATCTGCTTATACTACCATCACTCGGAATCCACAAGTATTCCATAATCACCTCTTAAAACACCCACATTATGAAATACGACTTGTGGTGGTTGAGTGAGAGGTGGATTATAACTGAAGTAATTAATACCCATATTTTTAAATTGGCCAGAACGTTTTGGAAATAGGTCAAGTAGATTTCATTGCCATTATAACCACGACATCTAAGTGTTAGAACTCTATTTGTCTAGATCTAGAATTGTCTCGCTTATTTTATCTGGCACTGAGTAGCAGCAGTTTTCGGTTCGAGGTGTAACAAAGCAATCATAATTTTTGGACGATAGTGCGTCTCTTTATATTATGTTTTGAGCGTCGTGTAAATCACGCGTGATGCAATACGGGAAACATCCACGACCTGGAGTGTATGAAAATTATACAGTTTTGTTAAACGTCCATTCTGAAGACTAGTGTTCTAAAGAAATAGACAAAAAGGTTGGGAGAAATATTACATTACACAAGTAGTTAGCTCTGCTATTGTATATTTAAAATAATCCTGTCTTTTAAAAAAGCCCCTTACGACCTGGATTTTCAACAGCTCTATCTCCATTTTTTATACTATTTGGGATGTAGTTTAAAAATAATTTTCAATAGGGAGCGTAAAGTCATGTTTTAATTATTTGTGAGGTTGTAAACTCATTTTATGATAGTCTAAACCCTTACGACCTAATCCATGCTTTGCTTTATCTTACATAAATAGGGCGTAAAGGTCGTTTTTTTAACCTTTGAGAGGACCCCTAACGGCCATATTCCATCAAATCCCTAGCGGTCTCATTAGACCGCACCCACTCACAGCACTTTAACCCATAAAAAATTATATATAGAGACTACTTTTTTTATAAAGAAATTTGGTATTACAGAATCAATATGAAATTTTCTATCCTTTTGTCAATAAAAAACAGTTATCCTATGGATAACCTACTTATTTATAATCTAGGATCATTTCGTAAGCCATTTTCTCGTGAATGTTATTGTGTTGATTTTTTGATTTTTCTGGTGTTTTATTAGTGTTTTAGTATAGTATTTTATTATAAAATTGTATAAAATTGTAATGAAAATTTTTGTGTGAATATAATTTATCTTTTTACGTGAATAATTTTGAGTAATATATATTAAAATAATTGTGATTTTCACGTTGCCGACATTCACTTGGTATGTTTTTTTTTTTGTTATTAAAATACAATAAAATATTTTTGTAACGACGAATAACCTGACTTTTGTTTACACCACAGGATAGAGAATTTTGTATAGATTTTATAATGCCAAACTTCTTCTTAGAAAAGTAGTCTCTAAATATAAGTTTTATGGGGACCGCTCGGGATTTGCCGGGCGCATGCAACTGCATAGGATTTTTATGAGGATTGAAGGGTTAATGTCCTTTACGTACTTACTTTTAATGTCCTGGACAAGCATCCGGGTGATGTAGTTATTGCACCTGAACCTGAAATAATGAAGATCATATCACCTACCCCTATTGACAAGGTGCTAACCGCTCATGTTATCCAGGACATGCGTCTGGGTGATGTTGTCTTTTTGCCTGAACCTGAAACAAAGAAGATTACTCAGACTATTCCTATTGACAAAGTACTTACCACTGACATTTTCCAGGACATGCCTTCGGGTGATAATGTCTTTGCACCTGAACATGAAATAAAGAAAGTTCCTCAGACCACTTCTATAAACGAGGTACTTACCGCTGACGTTATTCAGGACATGCCTCCGGGAGATGTTGCCTTTGCGCCTGAACCTTAAATAAAAAGATCACTCAGACTACTCCAATTGGTTATTTATAATTGAATTATTTACCGCTGACGTTATCCAGGACATGCCAAGATTACTCAGACTACTTTTCCTGACGTTATACATGAACCACGGGCGCATCATTCCCTTGACATTTCTTGTACTTAAATAGTTACAGACAACGTTGACCAATCTACATTGTTGCAACAACCTCAGGTATACTTCTTTGAAAACCGTGGTCTTTGAGCACAAACGTAAGGATATAGAAGATAATAACGGTTTTCCTTCGCTTATCAATTTTTTTTGATCCAACAACTGTCACCAGGGATTATGATATAAACCTAAACCTAGTAATAAATTTCGTAATAATTTTTTTAAATCCCACGCTGATTATCTTTCTGATAATGTAGACTTTTCAGCAGGTAGTTCCGATCTTTGGAACATGAATGAGTCCGAGAATTTAAATAATAGTAAGAATAAAATAGTGTACTAGAATAAGCATAAAGCAATAGATAAGAACCAAAAGAGAGCCATTACCATAGATAAACAAAAATGCTGGTAAGTTCTATGAAACAAGATCAGGAAAAATGTAATAGAAGAGAAGTCAATAAAAAGAAAAGCATACCTGGCATATGTGCTAGAAAATGTTACGAAGTATCAGAGGATAGAATAATGAGCCTTTTTAAATATTTCTGGAATCTAGATGCTCAACGTTGAAAAGCCTGGATCGTAAGATGTGCACAACCGATTCCAATCAAAAGAAAGTAATGTGTAGAAAGCAGTTAACTAAATTTTTATAAGGAGTATTTAGATCTACCGTCTTTAGGAACGGTAAAAGACATTCTTCCTGAAACTGACGAAGAAGACGATATCGTCAATTGTTTGATGATTGACTTCTGGTGGGCAAAATATGCAGTTATTTTCGTTATTTCAACTTTATTATTAAGTTTTAGATTGTTTTGATAAATATTGTTTATTAAGTTTCATTAATCATCGTTTAAAAAAAAACTAAAACTAAAATTATATTAAAATTATTCTAAAAATTGAGTTGTTTTTCAGCACAACAATGACTACTTGCAATTTAAATAAAAAATAATATTACATTTTGTTTAAATTTTGATTTCCTACTAAAATAACAATTTTATCATTTTTATTAAATAATTTGGTTAACAAATAAAAATATTATAAAAATCCTTTTATCATATCACTTAGTATTACTACTATTCACTCGGTATTACTTAAGTAAATCCTTAGTTTTTTGTTCATTTTATTAGGCTCTGATTTAATTGACTTGTACTACCCATTTGTGATCAAGTTTAGGCCTTTACTACATATCTGACTTTATCATAAGCAATTTTTTGAGTATGTAAAGTACTTCAGTCCAATTTCTGTGGGCTGTAAAGGATTCTCATTTTCATCTATAATTAAGTTTGGTTAATTTTGTTAATTTATAGGGATAAAACACGAAAAAATAGTTGGAGTCTTTTTTACATCATGAATATAATACTTGTTTTGAAAAAGTTAATAGACAAAAACTATTTTATTTTTTGTTTTTTAGCCTCTACTGAAAACTCGTGTTTTGTCCTTTACGACAATTGAACCGATATTGAAAAATGAGTACACAGTCCACCATGATTCGTAGATGCTGTGGCTCATACACACTTAAATCTATAAAAGATATTAAACAATAAAGAAAATGCAATAGGAATACACTTAGACATGACCAAAACATACGATAAGGTATATAATATATTACTTAATAAATTAAATAGTATAGGTGTTCCTGGGATTAGTTTAGAATGGTTCAAATCATACTTACAAGATAGAGAACAATATGTAGAAATAGAATACTTTGATAATAATAAAATAGTAAAAGTGAGATCAAATAAAATAATTGTAAATGCTTCAATACCCCAAGGTAGTGTATTGGGATGTTTATTACTTTTTTTGTGTGCCCATGTGTTATGTTTGCGGACGATATCTCTATCTTAGCACGTACGCACTTGTCGTGACGTAAATAACGTAAATGATATATTATATAAAATATTTGAAAATACTGATCAATAGATGAGACAAGACAACTTGGAAATAAACTAAGAAAAAATACAAAAATTTTCTTACAAAAATACAAAAATCGAGACAGTAAATGAGCACATAGTTCGGCATAGTTTTGGATAGTCACATCAACTGGAAATCTCACGTTCAGAAAATTCGTAACAAATTGTCTAGTATTGTATATGCCCTAAGTGAAATAAAAAAGACAACTGACCTCCAGACCGCGTTAATTACTTACAATGTCTATGCACAAGCGTGGCTAAGGTATGGTATTATCCTGTGGGGTAACAGTACAGATGCAACCACCATCTTCATCTTACAGAAATAACTAATTCGCATTATGTGTAACATAGAAAGAACTGAAAGTTGTCGCCTTCATTTTAAAAAACTTAAACTTCTTACCTTAATTTATATTAATATATTAGAATTATGCAAATTTGTGCTAAAAATACCCTAATTTATACGTAAAAAGAGAAACTAAAAATACGGCTTATAGTTTAAGACACGGAAATAGATTATTGCTACCAACTTCTAAAATGCTCTTTTCCTCAGGCCCTTACATAATGTCAATAACTATCTATATTAAACTACCAAATTCATTAAAAAACGAAACAAATGATCATATTTTTATAAGACAATTAAAAGTGTTTCTAATAAATAAATTTTATTATACTTATATGAATACCTGAACGACAAATGTAATAATAGTAATGAAAACTATAAACAAATGAATGAATAACACGAATAATGATAGTATAATAATAAGGAATAATATCGGATGATCTATTCTATAATGACGTCATTTCTAGTGATAAAGGGCTTACCCCTCTATCCTTAGCCAACGAGCAATGGCAGGATCCAGCAGTGCTTAGCATTTCCGACCGGGAGACCGTATAGAAGGAGAAGGAGCTCCACGGGAGGTACTACAGGGCTCTACATAAGCCCTTCGTAGATACAATCGCCTCCCTCAACTGGCTACGTTTCGATGACCTCTTAGGGGAAACCTACGGCTTTGTCTGTGCAATACAGGATCAGGTTATTAAGACCAACAACTATCGGAGATACACCAGGAGCTCGCTCTGAAATACGGTCTCGTGGACCGGAAATTGCCGTATTACAAGTACTTGCCGGAAGCCGTGCTCAAAAACGACCGTGCCAGGCTCTACTGGGACCGGGTCATCATGACAGACAGGACTATTCTTGCGAATAAACCTGATATTGTGCTGATGGACCGGGCACATTCAAGGATATTTTTGGTCGACATTACCATTCCGTATGACGAGAACCTCGTCAAAGCCGAAACAGATAAGTGAACAAAATATCTGGACCTGGCTCACGAGGTGACCGACATGTGGGGTGGTCGGCCGGCCGAAATTATTCCTGTAGTCGTGTCTTGCGAATGGGCTAATCCCAGTCAGCCTCTCGGGTCATCTGAGGCGATTGGGACTCCGTGACGGACCCTTCCGGGCTCAAATGCAGAAGGCGGTGCTCCTCGATACCGCCCGCATCTGCCGTCGGTTTCTTTCCCTTTCTTCCTAACCCTCGGCCGTTTAGTCTCCCCTCCTGAGGGCTTCCATCTGGTTAGATCTTTATTTATTTACGTATTTTTTGTATTTATTTTATTTTATTGATATTTATGTAATCTTTTCATTTTAATTATATATTTATAGAACCCAACCAGATGAGAAAACTATACAGATATCCCAATAGGAATAATATAAATATAATAAATAATATAATAATTATAATGAATAATATATAATAAAAACATTCTTGCGACCTCCTCTGTTCTAATTTACTATACCCGACAGGGTCCATATTGTGAAAATTGAATGTTATTAATTTCTACATTATGGAATGCAAATCAATATATTTGAATATTAAATATTGAATATAAATCTATCGTCGATTAACAATCACATAACAGATACGTTGTTAATCATAAGGGTTAAGATGGAATGCCTCGTTTCCAGTAAAAAGCATTACATATCATACAGAAGCATTAGGTTGCTATTTTGCGCTGCTACAACCATATTGTAGTTAGAGCATGGCTCTACCATATATAAATAATAAAAAAGAATACTAAAAAATTATATAATCGATCATTTTTACAATTCAGTTTAAATAGTGCATGAGATTGCCATGAATGCTCATTAGCTAGCTATTACATAATAGCACTCTAGCGTGAAACAAGCGATGAAAACGATCATTACCGGGCTCGTGTGCTACAAATAATTTTACTTTCGCTGCAAGCCACCCAATCACTGTTCTACACCTGTATCGCACTATAGAAAATTATTCGCACTTAAGTATATAAGACCAAGTGATATTAGAATCGTTCGGGGAGTCCGTTGCTATCGAGAAGACCGGTGGTTGCGAGGACCGGACTCAAGCCTCGCTATTAATCTATTATTAATTAGTTAATGGTAGAGCGGATTTATTTCATTCAGTAATTTATCAGTTACATAATGAGTGATAGGGAGCCCTCTTCTTCGTCGGGTAGCAAAATTGACTTCCTTTTTGTATTATATAATAATTTTGCATTTAACATAATTGATGTTTACTTTGGTGGTTTTAACTTTAGCCATGATTGACTGTTGAGCATAGGTCTCCCCCTAGGTTACCTTATTACCGTATTTGACCATTTTTAGGATTATTTATAATTATGTGTTTTTATCAGGAACATGTTTACTGCACATGTGCTCTTTTTTAGTTTTCCTCTAACTTTCGAAGACGATATGGAATAGTGGATATTCTTATATCGCTACTTCATTTTATGTTGCTCTTTGATTTTGAAAAAAATGCCGATTAATTTTGGCCTATTTGTATTATTAATAGTAAAACGGTCATGAAAGGATCCAAACCAAACGATCGATGCAGTTAAAAGTTCTTATTAATAGGTATTGATTTTTCATATAAGTATCCTCTCTAATCACACGTTCTAATCACCATCGCTA